GCAGCTCAGCACCCTTGCCTGGATGGTGAGCCGCACTCCGTGAGCGGTTGTCGCCGCGCATGGCTCTTGCGTCTTGTAGCTCTTGGGTGGTCTCGGTGATGAACTCCTGAGCGGTGGGCACTCCTTGCCCTGTGCTCTCTTGAGGAAAGTGTGCCGTGAAGCACGCTTACAAGTAGTGCCCAGGCGCCTCCCTCGCTAGGTTGGCAAGGTCTGAGGCTCTCCAGGAGAGAGCCCCCGAGTCCCGCCTGAGGAGGGCGCCGGGCGCGCTTTCCTATGCGGTGGAGGGTGGTGCCCCTGGAGCGGGCGCTGATCCTGACGAGGCTCTTGACGCGACGCCATCTTCTTGGGGTCCCGCACGGCGCGGCAGCTTCCTCTTGGGGATGGTCTTCGGAGGCCTTCACTTCTGCTGTCAGGGTTGCCGATTGCCGCGGCTTGGAAGGCGCGCTCAAGGGAGCACATCGCATCCCTTTCTTCACATGGGACCGTGATGATTCCCCCGCTTCCCGGCATCTTGAGAACATTGTAGCCGTGGTGAGTGACTGCCATGAACTTGGCCAGGGCTGGATACCCGAGGATGGCATTGTACGGCAGTCGGATGTGCGTGACGTTGAAGTCAATGAGCTCGGTGCGGTAGTTCTTGCACTCCCCGAAGGTGACAGGCAGGCGGACTTGCCCTATCGGTGTGGTGGAACCATCAATCACTCATGAGAAAGGCTTGGTTGGCTGGAGCTGCTCATAGGGCACTTGGAGGTTGTCGAACGTGTCGACGGATAGGACGTTGAGCCCTGCGCCGCCGTCGATGAGAGTCTTGGTGACCTGCACATTGCTAATGACCGGGGAACACAACATAGGCAGGGTGCCAGCGGTGGCCGCGCACTTGAGCTGATCTGCTGAGTTGAAGGTGATGGCGCATTGGGACCACCTGAGCGGGCGCGTGGCCTCGAGCTTGGGGAGCGCCGCGTTCACCTCGCGAGCGAACTATTTGAAGATGCGCTGAGAGGCTGGGGCCTGAGCACCGCCCAAGATGCAAGCGATCGCACGCGGCTCCTGGAAGCCCCCAGCCCCCTCGTCCTGATGGTGGTCGTCGTTCCTTCTTGGTGGCGGCAACGGGGGAAGACCGGCGTTGCCCTGGGGGTGATCCTCATGAGGCGGGTCCCTCCAGGCGCCCTCGCGAGGTTGGTCCTGCCAGCGGTCCTCACGAGGCCGGTCGCGCCACTCCTGGCGTGGGCCATGGTCGTCCCAGCATCCGCCTCCGCATCCTCCTCCGCGGTCGTAGCCTCGGTCGTTGCACTCGGGGCGTCGACCATAGCGTCCTTCCCGTTTGGCTCTGAGCTCTTGGCAGTCGCTGGTATTGTGGGTGTTCAGGTTGTGGAAGGCGCATAACGGTCGGCCATTCTTGGACGACTCGGGCTGATCTTTGCCTCGATTGGTGTCGGGCTCCGCTGCGAGCACTACTGCCTCTTTGCGCTTCACGTCCTTGGCCTTGGCCTTCTTCTCCTCCACTCCTGCAGCTGGCAGTTCAAGGAGAGAGAGGCGTCCCTCCTCAGCTCTTGCGCACTTGGTCGCCAGGTTGAACAGCTCCTGAGATGTGCAGAGCTCCTCGTGGATAGCAAGCTCTTCCTTCATCTTGACGTCGCGGACGCCGTCGGAAAACGCGGAGATGATGGCCTCGTCAGTGACCTTGGGGATCTTGAGGCGGGTGTTGTTGAAGTGCTGGATGTACTTCTGGAGGGTCTCTCCTGGCTGTTGCTTGATGCAGCATAGATCGCCCGCGGTCGGTGGGCGGTCGCGAGTGCCCTGGTAGTTGGCGACGAAGCGGTCGCGCATCTCGTCCCAGGAGGAGATCGAGCCGTGCTGTAGGTTCAGGAGCCAGGAGCGGGCCCCATCCTTGAGAGCCATGGGAAACCAGTTCGCCATGATTTTTTCGTCGCTGTTGGCCGCTTCGATGCTCAACTCATAGAGCTGCAGGAACTCCGCGGGGTCGGCGGAGCCGTCGTATCGAGGAGGTAGATCTGGCTTGAACTTGCCTAGCCAGGCGACGCTACGCAGTTCGGGGGTGAAGGCACGGCAGCCAGCCATGGTCGCCGGGGCCCGCTTCTAAGGCGGATCTTGGTCTTGGCGAGGTCCGCGTTGCGCCACTGCAGGTGGCACGCGGTCTTGATGAGGTGGTGCGGGGAACGCCGACACAGCTTCTCGCGGTCGCGGGATTTCTTGGCAGCTTCTTTCTTCACGCGCGGGCGCCGGGCGCGGTGGATCACGCCGCGGAGGCGCGCGCCTTGGTGCCAAGGCACCGTCTTGGGGTCGAGACGGTGGAGGCATGCCATGAGCCCCGTCGCCCGCGGTTGGTTGAGGGGGAGGCAGAGAGTGGGACGACGTCGGAGAGCCCCCTGCGGCACGGACGAGCTCGGCGACGCGGTCGAGCCACTCCTCATAAAGGTCATCGACGGGGCGGTAACGCAGGAGCTCGTTCGCCGCGATGAGCGCGGCCCGTGCCTCCATGGGAGCATGGTGCGCGTGAGACGAAGAACCAGCAGGGGTGAGTGATGGAGTAGCGGTGCGGCCGTCCTGCCGCACTGAAGGATGCAGCGAGGATGCCTGCTGCTCGTTCCCCGTCAGGCCGGTGGCAGCGTTGGCGGCGGGGGACGGAGAGCGACGAGGTGACCCGCCAACGGGAGCCGTCTGAGCGACGCGGGCGGCGAGGGCAACCCGACGCTCAGCTCGAGCACGGCGAGCGTCCGCCATGGAGACGACGGAGCGACGAACCGACGGAAGGGAAACTACGACGCACCCCTACCTGGCGCGCCAAATGTCGGATGTGGAGTTCCGGCTAACCCTTAAGGTTCGAACACTGAGGTGCGCACGAAGTCTTTCCCTCCTACCGATCTACGCTCTACCTCGCTAAGATCTTACGGACGAACTCGACGAACTCACAACACAGAAAGATACGGGGTTTATACTGGTTCGGGCCACCGTTGTGGTGTAATACCCTACTCCAGTGTGGTGGTGGTGGATTGCCTCACGGGTTGATGATGAACAGTACAAGAGAAGAACAACCTCCTGAGGTTGAGGTGTTCTTATGCTTTCGGACTTGTGTGTATCTCTGGGTCTGATCCAATCTCTCCCCTACTATGGTGGCTAGCTCTACTTATATAGGCCTTGGTCCTCTTCCCAAATATTGAGCAGGAAGGGAGTCAACAATGGCGGGCTAATTTGAAGGGGGACAACTAGTACAAACCATCCTGACAAAAGGTAGTCTGCACCTGCGAAAGGCTCTGGGGTGACGCCGTCTTGGGCTCCACGATGACCTCCGCCTTGCCGTCCGCCTGGTCTTGGTCTTGTTGCACCGAAATGACAACCTTTGCCTGAGGCCTCGGTACTCCGCGGCTGCGCTTGCCTCCTTTGCACCAAAGGGGAAATAAGGACGCTGCGCGCGCTGGCGCCCGCCTGATGTCAATCGTCATGGCTTACGTCACGAGAGTCTCGTGAGGTTCGCCCCACCTTGATATCTCCGCTCCTCGTAAGTCTGCCTAGCTAGGCCACTCCAGAGGAGGTCTTGCATCGTCCGCCTCACGAGGCTTGGACCCTCGCAAGGGTCTTGGGTGCCTTATTGGTGAAGATGAGCCGTACGGCCTGCTGGTTCAGCCACGTCGTGGGCCGCAGGTAGGCAGGTCTGGGGACCCCCGTTCCCAGAACGCCGACAATTCTCTACAAGGCACCTAAAGATTTCGGCCTCAAGCGGAGGATCAACATATCAAAGGAACCAACACGTTAAGAAAATGATTGCTCCTGTGCAAAGGTGACCAAATTGGCGGTCGTAGCATGCTGGCCTGATAGCTCGCGTGTCCCACCTATGGTGGGCCTAGATCGACATGTCTATAACTAGGGGAGGGGGGAGGGGGCATGTGGCCAGCCTAGGGGCGTGCCCTGGGCTGCGAGGTTGGGCACGCGTGCTGGTATGGCACCACCCTTTATAGATTTTTTTAACATATTAGCCCCTCAAAACATCTTACACATGTCAAAATAGCCCAAAATCAAGCATCCTGGTAGGCTAAAGTGCCAGTGGGATGACCCGTTTTCTTGTTGTGCCGTGCCTGGCCAGAGAGCGAGGCACGAGTGCAGCCCGACCCGGCCTGCGTATTAGGCGTGCCTGGGTGGGCCATGCCATGCCTGTCCCATTTAGGCCAGACCGTCCCGTGTCGGTCCATCTGACATGGTCTGCTCATGTGTCGTCTCTCAGTACCATGCGTGCGCTTTTCACACATTCACCCATCACAAATGACCCGTCAATGTTTAACTTCGTCTAGCATGGTGGAGATTTCGCCCAAGGCGTTTCTGCTGCTTCTGCCATGAAAGAATGTGAGGTTTTTCTTTACCTGCCTGCAGCTACTCCTGAATCACTATCTTTCCTTTCGCCACTTCGCCATGTGGATATTTCTTGATGCTCTAACAACGTTTATTTTTCGTAACACCACTTACAGTTACATCATCTGTCATCTGCTAAAATTGTGTTTTTGGTTCAAATGAATCAAATTTTTTGGATGCTTGCCTTGTTTTGCATCATCCGTTGGAGATGCTCTAATTATCTCTTTGAAATAAGAGAAAATAGCCTTGTGTTAAGCAATTCTAACTATCATCTGGTTTCTCTCCCCCCTCCCCCTATAAAACAGGTTTTCTCTTTCTTTTTTATTCAAGAATTTTGTTTGTTATGTGAAAATGATCTTTGCTTAAAATAGTTTGAATTGCTTACCACATGTGTCACGTGATTTGTGAAAATGATATTTTAGCCGTTTCATCCATGAAAATGTAGTAACGTGATACTACGGGAGCCACAGGATTTCGATCCGGCTGACCAGCTTTTGAGGCCTCTCGCGCATTGCAGTTTCGTGTACCTCGCGGTCGAGCTCCCGCAAGCCGCAAACATCCTGTGCTTTCCCATCCGCCCATCTTCCACCGCCGCCGCCGCCGACAGGGCGGTCTCCCCTTCCTGGATCCGCCGCCGGATGCTCCTCCGCCGCACCGCCGCCGCAGCAGCGCAGCGCTCCTCCTGGTTACCCCCCTGGCGAACCATCCTCCCGCACGTCGGCCCCGCCCGCCCTTATAGCGCTACCACCTCCACCTCCTCCCCACACCGGCAGCGGCTGCGCACACCGCAGGTTACGGACAGTTCGCTTACTACCACCGCTGCGCCCCGACCGTTCCCGGACTACTCTCCGCCCCGCCCCGACTCGCCGGCCGACGATGCCCTCGCGAGCCGTCTCGCCGCCGCGCTCCTCGCTTCGCCCAGCCCAGGCTCCCTCCCTCATCTCCCCTTCATTCCCCTCCGCCCGCTGCACCTGCTCCTCGCACTCCCCCTGCTCGCCTCCCACCCCAACCTCACCAGCCTCCTGGTCCCGCTCCTCCTGCTCTTCCCCTCCCGACCTCACCCCCATCCCCAACTCATCCAATGCTTCGCCATTGCCGCCCATCTCGCCGTGCGCGAACCCGGAACTGCGCGTGCTATCCTTGTACGAGCTCTTCGTTTCCCATCTCCTCATCGGCATTTCGTCGAGCAGTTCATCTTCACATACAAGGCCTTCTCGTCGGACCCCGCCTCCTTCGACCTCCTCCTCCTGTGCCTCCCCTCCGCCCAGCTGCTCCGCCGGCTCCGCCAGTACGGCCTATCCCCATCCCCAGAATCCTGTAATGCTGTGCTCTCCCGCCTTCCCCTTGATGAAGCAGTTGCCTTGTTCCGAGAACTCCCCGACAAGAACGTCTGCTCCCACAATATACTCCTCAAGGCGCTCCTTAGTGCAGGCCGGCTCAAGGATGCACGCCAACATTTTGATGAAATGTCGTCACCGCCAGATGTTGTGACGTACGGCACTATGGTCCATGGCTACTGCGATTGTGGTGAGCTGGAGAATGCGGTGAAGCTGTTGGATGAAATGGCAGCAAAGGGGCTGGAGTCAAATGCGACAGTGTATACAAGTGTGATTGCATTGCTGTGCAATAAAGGGCAGGTTTCAGATGCTTTGAGGGTGGTAGAGGACATGACGATGCATGGGGTGGTGTTGGATGCAGTGGTGTTTACAACTGTAATGAGTGGATTTTGTAGCAAGGGTGATTTGGCAGCTGCAAGAAGGTTGTTCGAAGAGATGCAGAAGAGAGGGTTGGCCGCTGATGGGGTGACATATACCGCGCTTATCAATGGTCTTTGTCGGGCTGGGGAGTTGAAAGAGGCAGACAGAGTACTTCAGGAGATGGTGGACAAGGGATTGGATGTTGATGTGGTCACATATACAGCACTCATTGATGGGTACTGCAAAAGAGGGAACATGGTGGAAGCCTTCCGAGTTCACAATGAAATGGTACGGAGAAGAGTGGCACCAAATGTGGTGACATACACGGCTCTGTCTGATGGACTGTGCAAGCAGGGGGATGTGCGTGCTGCTAATGAGCTATTGCATGAGATGTGCAACAAGGGGTTAGAGCTGAATGTTTACACATACAACTCCCTGATCAATGGCCTGTGCAAGTTTGGCAATCTGGAGCAGGCCATGAGGATCATGACAGAGATGGAAGCAGCCGGACTTAGACCAGATGTTTATACATATACAACTCTTATAGATACACTCTGCAAGTCAGGAGAGTTTGACAGGGCTCACAGCATGTTACAGGAAATGTTAGATAAAGGAATTAAGCCTAGTATTGCGACTTACAATGTTCTAATGAATGGTTTTTGCATGTCAGGTAGGGTAGAAGGAGGAAGAAAGCTGCTCGAGTGGATGCTGGAGAAGAACGTCCGCCCAAATGTTGTAACGTATAATTCTCTTATGAAGCAGTACTGCATTGACAAGAACATGAAATCTACCACTGAGATTTACAAGGGGATGCATTCTCAGGAGGTGGCTCCAAATGAGAACACATACAATATATTGATCAAGGGGCACAGTAAGGCAAGAAATATGAAAGAGGCACTGTATTTCCATCATGAAATGATAGAGAAGGGATTTAGACTCACAACAAGCTCTTATAGTGCTCTTATAAGATTGCTGAATAAAAAGAAGAAATTTTCTGAGGCAAGAGGGTTATTTGACGAGATGCGAAAGGAGGGTTTGATAGCTGAACCAGATGTTTACAGTTTTTATATTGACATCAGTTTTAATGAGGATAATTTGGAGTCGACCATTACACTTTGTGATGAACTGGTGGAAGCCAGTCATGTAAAATCTAAAGCTGGCACAAACTAAGACTTTGCAAAGGAGCATACGCATCAGAACGTGATTTTGGGATGTGATAGCAGCGGTATCCTAGTTTTTTCAGAATTGCCAATATGTGAGACGAAAACAGACTCACGAAAAGCACTATCCTCTATGCCATCCTAAACTAGCAATTGAGGTATATAATCACTTCTTCTAAGGGTGACATGGATCATGGCCGCTATATAGCTCAACAATTTCTTTTATTTTGTGTAGAATGATGATAGTATCCTTTCTACGGCCACCTTGATATTCCCTTGTAAGCTGTGGAGGTATATATGTGGGATGCGCACTGAGGTGTTTATGCACTTTTGCAAGGTAAGAGACATAAATGTCATATTTGTGAACCTACTGCTTCACATTTTTGTATTGCCTCGAGCATTCTTTGTTGCTATTACTATATTGATATTGACACCATCTTACAGAGTTGATGATCTATCAAATCATTGTAATTTGATCCCAGCAAAACAATAGTCACTCCTAGGAGTTTTTTAGATGTGCCAGTTGATTAGGTTGCTCATATCCTGCATCTGACTGCCGTTCAGAATTCTTATGCGAGGGGGCACCTCCTTGTAATGGATGGATGTTCAGTAGTAATTATCGACAAAACAGAGTTACTTTGCTTGTCCTTTGTTTTACTTCTTCAGTGTAAGAGAGTTCCACGTTCTCAAAAAGTAAGTGGGTTACAGTACACAACTGTCTTGTTTATTTTAAGCTGTCCGCCTTGCAGGAGAAACGGTTTCTATCTTCATCAATTGTCAAGCAACAAGGACAGTGATCAGGCAAGCAGTGAGTGGATAAATCTGGTAGGGGAGTGTGCAGGGCTTCACTCAATTGGTAAGCAATTTCTGCTGATGCTGCCGTGATGGAAAGATGGACCTGGAAAGAGATAGGAGAAGCCAAGACAATAAGTATGCACGATTGCATCCATTATAGGGTGGAAAGGAAGGAGTAACCTCTGTCGGCATTCATGAATAACTCTTTGGAAGATAACATTGAGAACTCATTTGAGCTCTTTGTTCTACCCATGAAATCAAAAGGCAGATGTAGTTCTTTGTTTTCACACTCGATTCCTTCACCAGTGTTGATGATAGGATCCAGCCCTGCTTAACTGGGCACTGACTTTGGTGTCCATCGTCTGTCACATAACCACATAGTCACATTGGTGATATAACACTAGGGCACATCTAGATGTGCTCTAGTTATTGCACATCTAAGTGACTCAATCAAGCTAGAAAGAAAAAGAAAAAAGACGAAAGAAAAATGCTTGCACAAATCTTAGCGTAAAATCAATGACATAGGACTTAGATGTGCAATACTTAGAGCACATCTAGATGTGCTTTAGCAAAACTGTATAACAAAATATGGGAGGAGAAGGTTCTTTGAGATGCTTGAAATCATGTTTGTTTATCTGATAGCATCTGGACAGAACAAGATTCGACCTTGTGCTGCCACAATGGTAATTGGGCAAAATATAGTTGATATGTGCATTGTAAGAATCAATTTGTTGTGTATGAAAGTCCTATTTATATTTAGGGCCTGTTCGGAGATTCTCCCGCTCCCCAAGTCCGCTCTAGGAGTTGGTGGAGCTGTAGCTAAAAATGGTGGAGTGGGGAAAAGGCAGCTCCATAGATTCTCAGATTTCAGGGAGCTGGAGGACTGCCGAACAGCTCCTTATATACTACTAGCACACATGCCCGTGCATTGCAACGGAAGAAAATACATATACAATGATGAATGGTCAAAGGGTAATTTTTGGTTAAAAAATCAACAATTCTATTTCGCTGGCTTGGACCATGATACATGTACAATTTTCATAGACACAAATTCCTCAAGTTTTTGGACAGTTGTCCTCACATCTCCTCTGCACCTTGCTCTCTTATTTTGAGCTAAAGCGCAATTCAGACACATGAATATCATACAATCTATTCACAAATTTAAATTAAGAAATTATTTTCAAATAAAATAGTGCCATGGTTCATGGGAAAAGTGAAATATATAGAAATATAACTTCATATTATAGTGTTAACATAAAAGGTATATCCCAATAACTTCTTAAAACACATAACTATCAGAAATTTCAGATCGTTCTTTTTCATAGCTGATGTTTGTGTCCTTACATCCTGACTTCATGTCGATCTTCGGGATCTCCTCCACCAAGATCGTATTCCTGCACATAGTCACCATGAGGAAGTAGCATTTATTTTAGCACACAAAACCAGTATGTTGTTCTGTTGAAGAGACATGTACCCAAAACAGACACTAAATCCAGAATGATCAAGCAAGGCTAAAATCTGAAGTTGGCTTAAGGATTTGGAAAAACTGTCCAAATCAATAATACAGGATGGAACTATTTGAATGAACCAACAAAGATCTTGTACTGATAATAACCTAGCATTAGAATAAGTCATGAACAATGCTGGCTGTCGCTAAAATTGTCTACTAAATTAATCAAACAGGCCCAAGTGGTCAAGTACCTCATACTAAAACTGAATTGTCAGGTGGAATCAGAATTTTCTCCTACTGGCCATAAATTCAGAATTATTTGATAGCATGTGGCCAAAGGAGTCAAACACATAGTTGAAGGAATCAAACACGCACCGTTGCACTGTCAAAAATAGCCACTTATTTGTGGAAGTTCCGAACTTCTAAATATGTCTTGATAATCAGATGAACAGTCCACTCGCGGCCTTGTTATCATCCAGCAGAAGCAATGATTCAGCTTGGCTGAGCATGTGAGCATCTGCAAGTATCGGATGTGAAGGAGCAGCATCAATCAGCAAGAACAATCAACAAGAACCAGCATGAACAAATTCGCCTCAATCACACATGTTTGTATAAATAGATCAGGCTTCAACTTGACAAAGAACAAATTTGTTATCTTTATCTTTACCTCTTTATCTTTATCTTTACCTCTTTACCTATACCTATACCTATACCTATACCTATACCTATATATAATATATATATATATATATATATAAATATAATATTACATATATATATATATATATATATATAGTGCTTCTGGTCGTCCGTCATAGAAATTGCCCTCGAATTTGGCATAAATTACCCGCCATGCCATCCATAAGTAACATGATTCGGATTTATTTCAAAATCACCGCGGGTTTATTTCTTACAGGGCGATACACTTATATTATACAATCCTCCGGTAGCGCAATGGCCATGGCGTCGGCCTACCACGCAGGAGACCAGCGTTCGATCCCTGGTTCCACCTTTTTGCCACGCAGGTCTTCCACCCCCGCGCGCTAATAGGCCGGCCCATAATTGGCTGGGGGTGGGCCTGTTTACTATTCTTTTTTTTTTTGCTTTTTATTTCCTTATTTCTGTTTTTATTTTTTCTTATTTAAATTAATTCAGGATTTTTTAAAGAATAAAATTCCGAAAAGCTGCGGGATTTATTGAGAAGTAATAAAATATTCATGATTTCAAAATATTTTTTGCATATCATAGAAAAAATTCGGAATATCAAATAGATGTTCATGAAATAAAAAAATCATGATTTTAAAATAATAATCCAGTAGTCTGGAATTAGAAAAAATGTACATGGCGTGCCTCCTCCTCCTCGACGCGCTAATGGGCCGGCCCATGTGCGGCTGGTTGCGCCTGTTTTCTGTTTCGTTTTTTGCTTTTTACCTTTTTAATTCTGTTTTTGTTTTTCATTCTTTACAATCATTCAGGATTTTCAAAAGAACCAAATTTCATAAAGCTGCGAGATTTATTGAGAAATCATAAATTGTTCATGATTTCAAAGAAAAATCGCATATCATAAAAAAAAATCACAATATCAACTAGATGTTCATGAAAAAAACATGATTTTTTTTAAAAATCCAGTATTCAAAGTACATTCTGGAATTAGAAAAAAAATATACATGATTTTTTTGAAATGTTTCCAAAATTAAAACAGGCCCGTAAATGATGAACAAAACGAAACATCGCCTGCGTCGAAGTTTTAATAGGGGATCTGTAGAGGTCAATTTATGATTTCATTTAGTCCCTCGCATCGGGTAAAAAAAGGTTTCCATGTTTCGTACGACGCTGAAGCCAAAAAATATTGACACAATTTTCTATGGGTTAGTTTTTGTAAACTATATAAAATGACTAAATGTCTATTTTGCCTCCATACACAGCTATGTTTATTCTGGTACCATGGTAATTGTTATGACAACCACCGCTACGCTAGGTCAAGATTATATACATCATTCATCAGTCTAGCTTAGGTAGGGTTCATCAATGCAGTTTACTCAGCCAAAACTAATTTGTTGTGGCGCCTTAGGAAATCAAATCATGGTCAAACCATCACTTTTTTTTGAAATGACTTTTCAAAAGTCTCTTATCTCATCATGACATCATTTAGACATAGTTTTTGAAATGACATTTTAAAAGCCCTTATCTCACCTTGGCATTTTAAAAGCCATTATCTACCACTCCCGCATAGTTTGATAGTTTTTTCTCCCGTTGCAACGCACGGGCATATTTGCTAGTAACCTCAAAAACTGGTGTCAATCTTGCTGAACATTACATACACCGACACGAAGGTCACTCAATGGATTCCTACACTGGTTGGATGCACATGTAAAAACGGACAACGATGATTTGTGACGACGAACACACGTACATAGAAAACTCAGATCCGATGAATGCGGGACCAGCTCTTGCTCTTATGCTTCTGCCCAAATCGTGCACGCATGGACTATGCACTATGGCGATGTAGCAGCACCAGACAAGCATGCACCCTGCATGGCTGCATCTGCTCAACAATATCCTCTTCACCTCGCCCGACCGTCCCACTCCCAGCGCCTCCATCCACACTATCCAACCATCGTCTCCCTGGTCAGTGCAGGAGGAAGGAGGCATTGCCCTAGGTAGCCAGCGTCATGGTGGGCTCTGTGGAGCATGGGGCGGTGCCATACGTGGGCACGGGGAGCAGCACCGTGAAGCTCCGCAAAAAAAGAGAGATCGGTGCAGGGGATCAATCAGGAATACGCACGTGCATACTGAAGATCGTGTAGCTGCCACTCCATCCTTTCTTTCAATTGCTCGGGTCGACGCAGGCAGGCAGCCGTCTCTCAATCTCGCTGGTCCATGGAGTTCGGATGTACAGCAGCCTGCTCAGCGACTTGTTCTTCTCACAATCGCCAAAGATCGAGGGGGTAGAGATTTATAGTACAGATTGGTTCCTGAGTTGGTGAGTTGTATATGAATACAACTATCGTCCCGTGCGTGATACCCGCCCCTTAGCAGTAGCTAAATAGATTGTTTACCATAAAAAAAGATTGTTTCCTTTTTTTCATCAATCTAGACGCAGCATTTGTTTTTCCTTTTTCTCATGGAGTCGGACACGCAGACTTTGTTCTGCAGCGATTTTTTTCCTTATTACCTGTTTGTAGATCTATTTGCAAATCTCAGC